GAGTTGCTGCAGAAAAAAAAAGAGCAACAACAAAAACATGCTGCTAGAGACGGGCTTATTTAAAATGCAAACTGATTGTCTGCCAGCAGGAGGCGCTTTGAGAGCGGCAGAAACATCGGTTTCCCCGGTAACGGCTGTAATCAAAGCAGCTCCGCTCATAAACGCTACTTTATCAGATCAAATGAAAATGCTATCGAAACTTTTCTGAAGACAGTCGGTTCCCTTCAGAGATACATTCATACAAAACACCCGCGCCACGTTTTGATTTTGAAACACACAGTGCTCATGTTTATTCAACAAAGTCAAATGCCACAAATAAATCAATGTATGGGAAACACTGGTAATGTATATCGAAATATCGGAAATGTGTTTAAAAATCATATCACCGTTATTGAAAAAAATTATATCGCGATACATATTGATATTGAATTATTGTCCAGCCCTATTCATATTAATAATAAATAAAATAAGAAATATGTATGTTTGTACGTATGTATTTATCTATCTATATATATTTATAAACATATAAACGTTTATTGTCGTTTTGTTGTGTTTTTGTTGCAGCTGTACTTACCTAACGCAGAAGTAAAGCACAATCGGTCCAGATTTCTTAGGAAACTCGTGTTCCAGAACACGACGATCTAACTGCAACCAGCTGAAATGACTCCTGAAACATAGCCCAAGAGAATTGACTGAGAACATCTGTCAGCAACCGGAAATGTCTTGCAACATCTTATTTTCTCATTTATAGCGCCACATAACGTCATAAAACATCATGTGGAAAATGAGCCAAAAGAGGGCTGTTTTATGTTCAAGAAGTCATCACATGCGCATTTTCATGAATAATTTAGCCAGTGATGACAAAAAGCACTCAGGAAATTATTGCATTGATATTCGATTGCACACTGATATATAATCTTTAAAAGGTAATTATAAATCCAAAAGTAGATTCTACTTATGACATTATACATATATATACATATATATATATATATATTATATATTACCTAATACATTTTATAAAGTACAACAATCTATATTAATAAATTATATGAATATTTATACAATTTATTAACATATTATTTTGATTTTCTGAAGAACATGAGTGAAGACAGAAATGCATTTGTCCATTTGCATGTTGTTCTTGGCGAATGCAAACTGTCAACCCCATGTTGGGAAGGATGTACAGCGGGTTGGATCAAAGGTCACCTCACAACATTTCAAAATCTTTGGAAACCACAAATAACACATTCCACCAAGCACACCAGCAGTGACAACAGACGGGACGCTTCTCTTGAGTGAGTGAGTGTGTGCCTTAAAGAAATCACACAAACATCTAACAAATGTCGCACAGCAGTAGGTCACACTGTGTAGGACTAAATGAAGAGCTGGTTGTCATCATCTCCCTGTGGAATTATCACAGCATGCTCACTCATCCAGTCCTGGCACAGTCAGAGAGCTGAACTGTTCATGATTACACCTTTTCTCATAGATTACAGGCAGATGTAATATTTAATAGGATGTCTTGGGTATACGTACGTCTCATCTACATAAGAAATTCCAAAATATTCCTTCTCCTTCAGGTTGAAATGGGACGCCACCAGGTCTAGAAGATCCTTTGCCATTAGCTTGGGCTGAGAGAGACAGAAAGAAAAAAAACATGTTTCATCACAAAAGAGATCTTTTGGTTTAGAACGTACACACACCCAGACAAAAACACCCAGATACACACACACACACAAGGTCAGCGAGTTGGCAGGCTGTGAACGTTGTATTCTGATGAGTATTGATGCACTGCAGTGACTCTGCAATTTCATGCCGACTCTGTCTGTCTGCAGTCAATGTGTGTTGCATCTTGAACAGAGCTTGATTTGCTGCACAAACAGTATCGGAAATATGCTCATGCAACCGAGATATTTGCTTTTAAGAAGGATTAATCATTATTTTTAATAATACAAAGATGTACAGAGCACTGACAAACACCCAGAACAATCTGGAAAACTGAGAGACACCAGTCACAATATCTCTGATTCTGCAAGCTTTGGGCTTTCCCTTTGTGTATAAGTGATTGTAAAGTGTGTGGTAAACCATGGGTGTGTCACTGGCTGAAATCACTGGTGTCCTGGGACATCTTTGTACAGCTTACCATCCTACCAATATATCCACACACAACCATTAATGAGTAGAAAGCATTTAACTTCCCTTAACTTCCCTTGACCTCTTGACGTCAATGTCTTATTCACAATATATTAAGTGTTAATGTTTTTGAAATAAGATTCTTATGCTCATCAAGGCTACATTGATTCATTGAAATCATAATAAAATCACGATTTGAGCATGCACGATTGCCAAATTGTTTTATAGCACGATTTTTTCTGCACCCCCGACTTCCCGCAGTATGCTATCCGAACCAATCAGAATGCAGCACGCCTAAATGGAGCGCGAGAACAGAACCGGGTATAACGACAGATAGTAGGATACAGAAACAAGGAAGATGAGTTCAGGACAGGAAAAGGACTTGGTGCCCCCCCAAAAAATCAACATCAGGGGTGTGGGAGTACTTTGGATTCAGGAGAGATGATTTATCACAGAGCCAGGTAATTTGCAAGCCCTGTCGATCTGTCTTTGCGGCAAAACAGGGTAACACAACAAATCTATTTCAACACCTGAGGCAGTGTCTGGGAAGCTTTTTCATGACTGTCTCAGCCATGCCAGCATCTCTGCAACTTGAAGAAGCCATTGCCTCTGAGGTGAACAGCTACCTGCTTACTCCCTCTATCGACAGTGAGGAAGATCCTCTTCTGTGGTGGAAACTACATCACATTAACTTCCCAAGATTGAGCAAGCTTGCACAAAAATATTTGTGCATTCCAGCTACAAGCTCACCATGATCTGAGAGGGTGTTTAGCAAAGGAGGGAATGTGGTGACATGCCAACGTTCATGCTTGAAACCAGAAATGGTGGACATGCTGGTTTCCATAGCAGAAAACCTTTAAACATTTAAAGCAGCTAATTTCTGCCACTGTTCTAATTGTAGTTATTTGAGAGACTTTAGTCCGGGTTTTTTGTTGTTTTGATGGTTTGATTACCCAATTTTTGTTTTGCCATATGTCTGTTCTAGAGACATTTTGTTACACCTTTACTTAGTGATTATTTTGCCTTATGTTTGTTCTAGAGACATGTTACAGCTTTTTGATAAAGCTCTAATTGGTTTCCTTTGGAAATATGTTTCAAATTCACACTGAATGCTTTTATGACTGTAAGTGTGTCAAAATCGCGATTAAAATCAAAATCGCAAAATTTATCAAAGAAATCGTGATAGGTTTTTTGTCCATATCGCACAGCCCTAATTTTAAAATGTAATTTATTCCTCTGATGCTAAAGCTACATTTTCAGCAGCTATTATTCAAGTGTTCAGTGTCACGTGATCCATCAGAAATCATTCTAATATGCTGATTTGGTGCTCAAGAAACATTTTTTATTATTATTAATGTTGAAAACAGTTCTAAAATTGAACAGTAGTGTATGTTTGGGGTGTGTATGCATACATATTTTTTTTACAAGGCTCTGCCAGTTTTTTTGTATAGTTTTTCATAAGGTCTATCTGCATTTATGTGCACACTTATTATTGATGAAATTATGTTAATAAAGTCTGAGAAAGATCAAACTAGTCAAATTAATTTAAACAAGATGTGTACTCGATATACACATGCATTGTGTGTGTGAGCCTGTGTTCAAAACACTTTAATTACTGTTTCAGTTTCAACACAGACCATTTTGAAATAAAAACACACATAATACACACACACACACACACACACAAAACAACATCACTCTTTATAATATAGCCAACCCACCCACACACCCTAAAAATAGCACAGCAAAATCTGGAGCAAAAGTACAATCACTGCCACAACCTTGGCTTATGGAAAGAAAGAAAGAAAGAAAGAAAGAAAGAAAGAAAGAAAGAAAGAAAGAAAGAAAGAAAGAAAGAAAGAACTAGGGGTAGATTACAGCCTGTAGAATTACAATATCATCATTACTTATGTTGTGTAGTATGAAATTTTAAATTGTAATGTACGTCTTCTAGCTAAGCTTTGGGCTAAGGTAGTTCTTAGTTGTTGCAAAACCTAGTGAGCTACCCACCTAGATAACACTTAAGAGTTATCTGGAGCATAAGAGCACAACAATAAGCAGGGGTTAGTTCCTGTGTGATTTTCCCAGGGGTTCATGAACCCCAGTTTGAAAAAAATCCTGCATTAGAGTTGTTAGCTAAATAACATTTGTTAATGCTAAACCCTCCCGTCTTGAGTGTCTCAAATCATCTATTTCAGTAAGGATGCCACCTTAGAAGGTAGTTTCCTATGTAGAGAGCAGAAAATGAGGCAACCCACTAGGTTTTGGAACAGATTTGTGTCAGAAGCAAATCATCATCATAGTTTTAAAAAACCTCAACGTCTACTGAGTCTGCAATTATGGTCCTCTCTGATTCACCACTCTCCCTTCAGGTCTGATCTCAAAAACCCAGCTTTCAGCAAGACATCTTGTTTTAGATATTCTTTTATGGCATTAACATTGTGCTTAATCAAAAATGAAACATTAAATATTGTGAGATTGTTCGCCTCTGGTTCTTCAGGTGAGACCTGCAACTCTGTACCACATCAATCAATTGGCACATTTAATCTCATCATTCAAAGCAACGTGGTGTGAAACAGCTTGCTTCCTCAATTAGCCAAAGTGAATGTGTAAGTGTGTGTCTGCGGTAAGAAGAGGAAGTGGGTTTAATATGACCGCAATCTTCAATCTGGACCCATTTTTGGTGGTGTATGTGTGTGTGTGTTTGTGCAGCTGAGAAAATAAAGAGGGCTAAAACTCAAACCGTGTCCATTTTCTTAAAGAATGGCAGTATATTTTATCTCTTTCCACCTCATTTTCTCTCTGATTAGCCTCTAGACTTGATTATGACAGTTACTGATATAATAATGTGTTCAGAGTCTCTGAAATGTGTAGATAAGAAGAATAAAGAAGTATTAATATCCTGTTAGTCTGCGTTAAGGGCCATCAATATGAGCGCTATATGGTTTTAACAGATTTAATGTGGGATGCCTATCATCTCCTCTCTGCCATTACACTTACTGAGGTTGATTCAAATCACAGACATATGTTTCCACATGGAGGAGCATGTGATAGTGCGTGTGACTGTGAGGAAGAATATCCGGACTGTTGTGATTTAATATCATTAAACAGTGGGTGACTGATCAGGACGGAAGAGCGATGACAAGAACACACGCCGTCAGGTCTTGTCAGGTCTAGATCACAGAGATGAGAGATGTGAGTCGGCTTTCATCACACGGAATGACTTCAGCACAAAGCAACGCTAGGGTTTTTGTTCAGGATTTATCACTGTTAAAACACATGTTGATCTGATCAAGAATGCAGACTAGATAGTGTCCTTCTCTCTAAAGCCTCCTATACACTGTAAAATAACAGAATTCAAATCTGAAGATGTAATTATATAAAGAAAGTGCATTTACACAGATGTTTTTTACATTTACATTTTTAATCTGACACAGAGCCAGTGTAAATACATTTATGAAGGAAGTGCAATTGTGGGAAACAATGGGTCTGTTCCAAAACAAAGTGAGCTGCCTTGTTGCCTATTGTCTAAACAGGCAGTTACCTTTAGATATGTCACTTTACAAGTGGTTGATTAGAAATGCCCAATTATATACATCACAAACACACAAATGGTGCCCTAATAAACATAAAAAACACAGCAAACACAAATAGTGTGTAAAACAGGCAATTTTCAAATAGACTGAACAATCTTCATTGATTTTTTGGTGTTACATGGTTATAAAATTCTCACATTTTAGCTAACATTTCTTTCATTTCGTCTGCCATCTTGGATTTATTTTTTCACCAAGCTTATTGCAATACATTCTGTAATTGCTTTGATGGAAATTTGGCCAAAAAAGGTATCTAAGAGATATCTAATAAGTCTAAAACTAAGACCTTATAGTAGTTTAAGTGTATCATCTAGCCCCTCAAACTAAGGGTGTGTGAAATCACAATTTTGGATCGTCTGCGATTAAAATGTCTCCACAATCTGCTTTTGAAGAAATATCGTAGTATTGTGCTACAGCACACATTCTATCAGTTGCAGTTCTGGCTCCTCCGTCTCAATATATACTGTACAACGCGACATACTTTCACATCAAATGTTAACTCAGCGGTACAGTTACACTCACGGGACACTGCACTGATTCGCAGTCACAAAAGTACATTATTTGCATGTGCTTTAAAGCCTTGCTGGTTAAACATTCCTCAATGTGCTGAACACAAAAGAAGATGTTTTGAAGAATGTGGGTAACCAAAAAGTTGCTGGTCCCATTGATTTGATAGTAGGAAAAAATAAAAAAATACTGCAGAAGTCACTGTTTCGTTACCCACATTCTTCAAAATAACTTTTATGTTCAACAGAAGAAAGCAACTCCTTCAGGTTTAAAACAACTTGAAAGTCAGTAAATGATGACAGAATTGTCATTTTTGGGTGAACTATCCCTTTAATTTTAATAAAACAAAAAAACAAAGAGAAAAATCACTCACTGCTCTTGACTTAAGAACTTTAATACAGTTGCTTTAATAAGAATCAATGTATAATTTATACAGTGAAGTGTTTAGTGTATATAGTGTTTTATTTTTATATTAGTTAATTCAATTTCTTGATTGCTACTGCTAAATGCACCTACTGTATCTGAAAAATAAAGCACTGTTTGTTTTATTTGTATATTCTGTGTATTTGTAATGTGTATCTTTGTTCTTATTTTTTAATAACAACGATAAAATAATGACAAATATTTTTACCTTCGTCCACTTTCGCCCATTTTGTTACCTTATAAGGCTTTGTTTTTAAAATAGGGAAATTAGTTTGGCTATACTGCTCAGACAACTTGCAAAATAGTAAAATCAACATGACAAAGAATCGTGATAAAATCATGAATCATTATTTTCCTGAAAAAAACTATTGTGGTATCATATTATATTTTTGCCATATCCCCCACCCCTACCTCAAACTCAAAGGTCTGTCTTCTTCAAGAGAGACCAAATATGCTCTTGTCAAACTCCTGACAGACAGTGTAAATTACAGCTGAGAGGAAGGACTGAGCTAGGACACAAGAGAACCACCAACCAACAGCACCTGCTTTGACTCACCATGGAAAATGACGAATACACACGCTAAACGCACATCACTCACAAAATTACAGCCTGCTGTGGAGAGACAGGTGGGAGATGCTAACGAGCAGTTAGACAGCTGAAAAACAGAGCAAGATTATTCAAGTTGGGGGAAAATTTTAACAAGACTGTTGACAGCTCTTGTATTGTAAGACTGTCTACCTTATTATAAACCAAAGTCATGTCAAAACTAACTGCCAACAGAAAATAAAAAAGGAAACACAAAAATTTACCTCCACTAAAGCCAATATAAACTAGATGTTTTCAACAGCACTGTATGCAAATAAGCCCTCAAATGATGAGACAGCAGCAATGTTCAGTCTCTAATGGTACTATAAAATCATTCACAAAATTATTGCCAGTCGCACAGTGTAAGATCATCCATGATAACCTTCAGAATGGTACATTGCCTCTAATGAGGCAAGGAAGAAGTGAGGAGGAAGAGGAAGCAGATAAATGAGGCTACAGAAAGATCCAACAGAGACCCATCAGTACAACCAAAACAGACAATGATTTCACCACTGCATACTGTATGTAAGGTGTTTTACATCTTAAAGGGTGTTTACACTGGATTTTAAGGTTGTAAAAGGCTTTTTTATTTGTTAGTTACTGTAAATTTAAAAATACTATCTACTCCTGTTTCCCCACAACATCTCATCTTAAAGTTTGTATTTAAGTTTCTTAAAAAAAGAGATTAAGCCTATACAAAACTGCTACAATTAGAGTTTCCTCCGTTTACATTTTAATCAAGAAGTTAGTTATGCCTTTTGGTCCAACATCCTTTTGCCAAGCAAATTATGCATGTCTCCAAATGTACAATTCAACACATATGTTTGCATACATGATCTTTCAAATGCACATGAATGGAAGTGAGTAGAACATAAAATCTAGTATACCAGTTACTTAAATTCACAGAAAATCCTGTAGCATTACCCTGTTAGGTACATTAACCTAACATCAAAATAAGGGAAAGAGGGAAGAGCTGTTCCTCAATGCAACATGCAGAAAAAAATAACTTGGAATAACAGCAGAATTCTCAAAGGCATGATTAACCTACACAACCTTCTCCAGAACATCCGCCCACATGGAGGAAGAGAGAAAGGAGGAAAAAGAGAAGTCAGAAAGCAAAAAGAACGGGCTAAATCTTTTAGCCAATGCTAAAAGAACATATATCTAAGGACTCATGACTAAAGTAGGACAAATGCATAAAGATTATGGAATAAGTGTTTCTGCAACAGCTCAATAAATCATAAACTGTAGAGAGAGTGAGGCAACACACTCACTACCCCTCTGCCTTATCCCTTCTTTTTTTTATCTCTTCCTGGAAATCCATTCTTTTCCTCTCTCATCCTCTTACCTGATTGGTCTCTCACCTCCTCTCCTTTCTAGATTTCTCTATTTATCAGATCAAAACTTCAAACCACAATCAACTCAACCAGCATTTTAGAGGACAGAAAGAAAGTGTGTGGAAAATGAGAGATGGAGGAGGCTCAGAAATTACATTTCTCTAACTATGATGGAGTTTAAACTGGATTGGAGTCTAGAGGAATCAGGTCACCTAACCGCACCGAACAGGCATGAGAGAGCGAGAGAGCATGAAAGAGAGAAAGACAAATAGAACTGAATCGAGCAGGTCAGAACAGAATATTAAAGAATAATAAAGATAGCAATAAAACAGAAGAAAATATAACAGAAAGTAATCAGAAGAAAACAAAGCAAAATATAATATAATAGGACATAAAAGAACCAAATGAGTGTTATAAAAAATTCAAAGAATTGAAATAAGCTGAAACAAAATATAAATATTAGATTAAAAACTTAATTATTTGAGATACTGTCTTGGCAACTAATTGAAATAAAATAAGTTGAAGTACTAAAATCACTAAAACTAAAACAAACAAAAATAAATTTAAGCTATATAGAAATATAAAAAAATGACACAAGCACATCATAAAATTACTAAAACTTAAATTAAAATACAATAATAAAAGCTAATTCAATATATTAATAAATACTATGAGAGAAAATAAATAATAAAACAATAGAACAGACAGAAAATAAGAATGGAAAATTAGAATATAATAAATGAGAAAAATATATAGAATATAACATGACAATAGAACAAGACAGAAGAGAATAGAACAGTATTATAAAATTTTATTCTTCATGTGTTCAGTGACTAGGATGCCACAGGCAGCGTTTACTTCATGATTAGATTTCCTGAGAAAGTTCATATGAATGTGTGTTGAGGAAACAAAGCTGTGCTGAGGAGACACTTCTGTTTATATTGAGGTCTGAGGGCTTGATAGGGCATGGGAGACAGACGGGGTTGTTATGGAAACTGAACTCATCCTGAGAGAAGATGTTTGTGTTCTGATAGTAGGATTTATGGAGTGTTTTATGCAGGAGGGGACCGCTGTATGCGTGGTTGGGTGGGTGACTTGAGAGGCTGCTGGTTTGGTGTCGTTATGGGAACCTAAGCCTGCCAGATTGACTATTGTGGTACTGATGTTTAAAAGACACTTGAGAGACATTTGCACAAACATATGATAGAGTTCATGTCAGGGCAAACTGATCTCAGGGTCTGTTTGGCTGTGAAATTGGAGAAGGGCATTGGAGAAGGAGTCATATTACATTTGCACACACAGAGCAAACATTTAAACTCATACATGCACACAGACCGATAAAAAGCCCCCTATTTCCACAAGACATTAATTAAGTCTCAGAGGACTTTCCAAGAGGAAACCTGAGGCCTTTATGACAAAAACATGCACCAAAACTTCACACCTATATATTTCAAGAGTTATTCAACTTTAATATTTCTGCACTAATACTGGACATTGTGCTGGTGAGTCAAACAGAATCAATTCTCTCACCAATACACTTAAAAACCTACAATATCACATTTTGGTCATGCTGTACCATTATCTGAATTGTTGTAAATAAAAAAGTATTTTGTCTTACCTGTACCAGGAGCTCCAATTTCCTGTCATCCAGGAGATGGACCTGACATCTCCGCCCTTCCGTCATCTGTTGTGGAGGGAGAGAGAGAGAGAGAGAGAGAGAGAGAGAGAGAGAAAGGGATTAGTGAAAGCACATTCACAGCAGGGTGAAATCAAGTGTAAATACTAGGTCATGGTGACAAAAATAGAAACTCTCCTTACACACATGCAGCACGATTCCCAGTCAAGCAGCAGAATTCAATCTCATTCTCTCCCACACACACGCACACACTTTTAAAGTGAATTATCTCACACTTCAGTGCTGATGGTGAGTATCTTTTTTTGACGTTTTAAGTGTATGTTGATTTAACTCCTCCTGGTTAAAATATATATTAATTGCAGACACACTTAACGTGACTACCACCAATTTTTACTACATTTAGAAATCAAATATTATAAAACAAATAATAAACAGGTCAAAAGAATGTCATTTCACTTACAGAGTACTTGCAGACTTTTATGGTCAGAGGTCAGAAATGAGATAATGACTACTACTTCCCATCTAAAAATAGTGTAATTTTAACACTTTGCAGATTTTTTGAATGACATATAAAAGCAACCAACCACAGTTTATTTAGTTTTTACTTGTTTAGGGTCAGGTTTATCTGAAATTGCCAATACCACAAGTACTGTTAAACATTAAACAAGTGGCTTTTACATAAAGAAAAATTTTGTAATGAAAATTCTGTTCTAGACCCCAATGACTTTCATTTTATGTACAAAACAGTCAAAATTTTCTTCATAAATATCTTTGTGTGTGTGTGTGTTCTGCAGAAGTCAGTCATATAGATTGGTATAACATTGACTAAATGATGACAAAATATTCACTCAAAAAAATACTCAAAACTGCAGTTAACTACATAAAATCACTTTGTATAGTATATACATCATAAGCATACACGTACATAAGCTTCTATTTAAAATGTATCACCGCCAAGAGATCAGGGCTTACAGGGCCTAATATAAAACTCCCCTCAATCAGCACTAATTGATGAAAGAGGGATTGTGCCATGTCAAATAGATACCTGCACCAGCACACAATCTGATTAGTGCTTTGATTGCCATCTGCCATGGTGAGAAATGTCTCTTTTTATCAAAGCCTGAGAGGACTGCTTATAATTAATATTAAATGGAGTCTGCAAGAAAAACAAACACACTAACAACACACTTTCCTCCAGGGTAAAATGAGTATGTGCATTCAGAAGGCCTCCCACAGGGCGTAGTTGGACGTTTGTAGTCCAGATGTATTCCACCTATGAAACATGTTTGGTTACTATCGACTGCACGCTCCTATCGTTAGATCTCAAATCACTGCTCACTCCCACTAGCTTTCCATTCACTCTCACAAACTATTTTTGTGAGTGTTTACTTAAGATCGCTGCTTCTGTGCCAAGCCGTATAGTAAACATCCCAGTACGAGCAGGTGGACAGACACATCTGTGAAGAACAGAGTCTGACTAACAGCTATGTCATCACGTGAGTTATACTGCCTTTAGGATTGAGCTGGTTTGACAACTCGAGTACAAAGAACCAAAGTGCAACCTGATACTTCCATTGTTCTTTTCCCTTCAAGAGAGCTTTTCATTTTTTGTTTATTTTCTCTTAAAGAAAAAAATGTTTCGAGGGATTTTAGAGTCTGTGAATGTGATACTAACAGTGGCGGTAGTTCACATCCATCAGTGGGCTTTCCGTCCGGTTCCTGTTTATACATCCTGTACGAGTCAGAAAGCAGTATTGCAGAGACTCACTCTCTCTATTGTGCCATATTGCGCTCTTTTTCTATTCCTCCATGCTTTCACGCTCTCATCCACCCCCTCTACCTTTATATGTAGGCCAAGTTAAAAGGAAAATGGAAAAAAGAGAAAAACACAAGACATTTCTTGAGCTTTTCAGCGTGGTGGTGTATGTAAGGACATCAGAATGGGAACATGTGGAGCGTTCTGGCTGCCATCAGGAAGCGGCGTCCCTGAGGAACACAAACAATGAGGCTGATAAAAGCAGCATGGCTCACATTTCCTCCACACACACGTGGGGGGAAAAGACTGGAGGAGGGGAGTCACAGGACTAGAAACACATCCTTTCTTCCCCTTCTCCTCTGCCTTGTTCCTGAGTGGAGCTACACAACCTCAAATGCACAAGCATGTGACAGACCACATGATTAATTGTGCGTGTGTGTGTGTCTGAACAGACTGGTGTGAGTTCGTTATTGACCTGTGAAAATGTTTTTACAGGGGGGACTTGACTTGATGAATTTCACTTGGTCGTGCTAACACTGAATCTAACTCCAACTCTATCTCATAAAAGCTGGTATCCTGTCTTCAGCATAACATGCCCTCAAGCAACATCTGTATTCTTATCCCTTAACCACTGAGTGAGATCACATTTCCATATAATAAAGACAAACCTAAATCAATATGAATGGGCTTACCTGAATGTGGTCCAGCCTTTAATGAGTTTTTTTTTTGTTTTTTTTTTAAATGTCTAATTCCTTCCCTTGAGCTGCACATGACCCAATTAGGTCAGCTCATCTAACTTTTATGATATTCATTTATGAGAAAATAAAGGGTAGCATAATTGATCCAAACCACTGCAGCATCATTAAAACCATATATATATATATATATACTCCAGTTTGGGGATGGGTAATGACAGCTCACTAATCTACTAGTTGCCCAAAAACCAAACTGATCCCCTTTAAAGCGTTATATAAACAACCCCTAAGAAACAGAAACCAGCCTAGTAATGCAAGACAATAAATTAAAATAACAATCAAATAAAAAATTTAGCTGATTATTCATTTGGGCAACCTAATAAATCAAACTGGACTAAAAAATTAAAATTTCCCAGCCAACACCTACTCAACATTTAACCTATTAAAAACAATAAACAAATAATAAAATAAATGAATGAACTCTAACTTAAACATTCCTCATTGTTCAGTATCCTTGTAAATATATCATAAACACAAAAAAACTAAACTTTTAAAAAAATGTGATCGATTATAAAAAATAAATAGTCTTACTCAATCCTTCCCCAAAGTACAATATCCTTGTAGACATATTATCCTAATTAAACACTCAAAACTAGATTTTTTTTTTTAACCTGCAGAATCCTATGGAATGGATTTAAACAAAGTAAAACAGAGCATTACACTCTTTTTGGCTGCTGAAAGTATATTCAAATCAGCCAAAACATTACATAAACAAACAGTGTGGTGGGAAGTGTAGAACTGTGAATGATGGTTGTTCCAATTCTGCGGAGATCTGTGAAGCTTTTTGAGGGCACAGATTCCATGTGGGCCTGTTCACAACAAGCAAAAGATGCAGAACCCAGAAGCCAAAGTTTGTGATGGCTGATATTGGGCTGAATTTCCAATCTTAAAGGTTAAACTTTATTACCGAACTTGCGGTAGCCTGAAAGCACTGCAGTTTGGTTATATCACCATATTAAATAGGGCTGAAACGATTCCTCGAATACCTCGAGTAACTCGAATAAAAAAAATCATCAAGGCTTCGTTTAGTCCATTTACTGTAACTACACACGGAACACCGTGTTTCCCCACGGACCATTATTACTGACGCACAACCCGATAAACAGACCATAGACTGTATAAAAACAGGGACCAGACTTTAAAAAGAGAGAGAGAGAGAGAGAGAGAGAGAGAGAGAAAGGGATTAGTGAAAGCACATTCACAGCAGGGTGAAATCAAGTGTAAATACTAGGTCATGGTGACAAAAATAGAAACTCTCCTTACACACATGCAGCACGATTCCCAGTCAAGCAGCAGAATTCAATCTCATTCACTCCCACACACAGGACATATTTAAGACCGTAAATCAATATGTTGGCTAGTTATGATGTCCCTACGTTCGCTATGTTTTGTGAAAGACTAAACGCCATTGTGCATAAAAATACCACAGAAAGAAAGTAGTTTTTTCGTTTTTAAAATAATCTTAAATATCAGTATTCAATGTTTTATGTTTAAAATAAAATATTATTTATGCATTTTAGGTATTATTATTATTCTTTTTATTACTATTATTTTGATTTATGCCTTAGTTTTAGTTTGTACTGTTTACCTTTTTAAAGTAATGTGAAATAGATTTTTGAATTTTTATTTATTTATTTTTATTGATATATTTGTATTTGCATTTTGAATGCAATTTGACAATTAAATACATTAAATGGGTTTAGTGTACTTATCCGATTACTCGATGGAATAATCTGCAGAATACTCGATTACTAAAATAATCGATAGCTACAGCCCTAATATTAAACCTCTTAAGGTCTGAGTCATGCTTGAAAGGAACACTTCCCACCACACAATAGGAGATTAAACCTGAGGCTTTGAATGAAGCAAACAGCATGCTGGTGATGGGAGCACATCCTTACAGCCTGAAGCTCAAGATGTCACACCTCCGCTCCACTGAATGAGAATACTCCTTACTGGGGTCTATCTGAAGGGGGAGGTAAACAGCTCTCAACCACAATTCCAGAATCTAACAATCAGGTGGTGAGAATGGTTTGTTTGCAGTAGTGTGTTTGTATGCTGTGTCTGGTGTGGGGTTACAAAATGCCTCGCCTGTAATCACTGAACGGTGAGTCACTTCTTCCTCAGCTGAACTCCAGTGAGGCACATTACACTCGCAATGCCCTACGAACCTGTGATGTCATTAAAATCACATAACACACATTTCAGTCACTGTAATCTTTGTAAATCATTGTCATTCTTTTATAGACAAAAAAGAATGGCTGCACAATTATATGGCTTAGTGTCATTTAATTAAAGTATATACACAGCATGTTTCTGAGTGAAGTGTGGCACTTTGTTCTTTTACACACAAACAACACATGATCCGTTGTTTGCAGTGTCTGAAGAGCAGTTCGGTTCACAGTAAATGCTGCCACACAAACTCGTCTCTGAATCTTCTCTGAGATTGGATCGCGTTTGGGAACATAACATCTGCCAACCATCTTCCCCAACTTGTAATGACAACTTTAGAAGCATTTATATTTGCCCACAAAAGA